GTCCTGCTCATCCTCTTTCTCTCCAGTCCTAAGATGTGACTGCTTGTTCTTACATATGCTCCTACCATGATGTGCTTCCACCATTTCCCTCATTAGAGGCCAAACCAGAGGGGATGTTTAATCTTGGACTTTGAACTTCCAAATATGTGACCTAAATTAACTTCTTTTTCTTCAAAAAATAGCCCACATCAGGTATTTCATTATAGTAATGAAAACTAATACAGGGGACTTTATGCTTCCCAACCCCACATTTCTGGACTCTGTAGATTTGAATTCCTGGTTCTTTTGAGGGCACACTCTCACCTGGGGACATAACAAGCTCCACTTAACTATAAGCTATGGCTGCAATGCTGCCTGGGCACTCTGTGTTTCTTGTGTCCAAAGACTAGCAAGAAAGAAAATGAACCACCAACCTGTGAGGACCAGGAGGAGCTAAGACAGCTGTCATACACTAATGTTGAATTCAAGTGACCCATTTTGGTGCTTCCTTATACTCCCTTGCCCAGTCATGACTTCAGTCTTGGTCTGAACAGCATATGGCAGTCAGGGTGGCCAGAATCTCAGAATACTCAGAAATTCAAGTTTGAATGAAACCATCACAAAAGCCATTGAAAGAAGCAGAAGTGATAACTCAGCAGATATAATGGATAGTGGAAGAGAGAGACAGTGGGTACCACTTGTGCCCTTGAAGCCAACTGCAGTGATGTGTTGTTTATTTCCCTAAACTATCTCTTCTAAGTTTCTCCACAGGAAGACAGGCCCCCCTCAGAGCCCTGGAGCAACTGCTCCCAATCACAGATGGAGAACCAGATCTCCATGTTGCTTGGGGCAGACATGACTTCTCAGATCACTTTCAATGATTTCTAACTACAGGGAATGTGGTTAGCAGAAAAAGTCTAACAGTTGGCTCCTTCTGTTATCTACACTAGTGGTCAGGTTGAGGTCATGTTCTCATTGTATTCTCCAGTCAGCGACTGAGAAAAACACTTGAGCCGTTTCTGCTCAAGGTAGCACTTGTCTAACAGAACATCTTTGCTCCAGGACATCCCACTGGACTGGTCAACCTTGTCAGTCTATTAGTGTGGTCAATGGTTTCTCCTGCCAATCCTGCTGTCACAGCTATTACTCTATAAACCTCTTAAACTCCCAACTCCATTTTCATGGTTGTTTCTGTATAATTAACCAGGGGGAGTCGCTATTTCTGCAATGCATTGTTTCTACCACTTATCTACTGAGTGAATTCCAACCTCCCAGATCTAGCTCATCAAGGCAATTACATCTAAGAGTACACTTAATCTTCTTCCTGAAATGGGTAATGTTACCTATAGCAGAAACCTTGAACTGGATAAGGTGATGGAGCAAATGCAATTGGACTACTAAAGACTTCTCCTTACAGACATTAATAAGGAAAAAAATTTTAAAGAGCCCCACATCTGGAAGTTAGCCTTGTATTGCTGTGGAATCTCCATTCCTGGACCTTGAGGCTAACATTCCTAAAATGGAATGCTCATGCAGTATATCAGCTTTTCATTTTGGAAATGAGATTTTTTGATAAAACCTCATGTAATGTTGTCTTATTAGTATCATAGTAATAATCTTAACTGTATACTGCAAACATCAAGAGTTTAAATTGTAGGAAGAAATGCTTTAGAATCCATCTTTTAAAAGAATATTATGTGCCTGCAAGTTTCTTTCTGTAGTGGCTTTATTCATTCTACAGTCTGGGTTTAATATTGATAAATATGAAAAATATGATGTTGGCTCTTTGTAAGCCATATTGTGATACTTATTAATGTTTATTAACTAATCAGCAGTATTTTCTAGATCTAAGGGCTCAATAACAGATGTTCATCTCTGAAGAATAATTTGAAGATCGTTTCTAAAATCAACTGTAGTATCTCTAGCCAAGGAGTTTATAATACCTAGTTGTAAATACAGTGGCACAACTAAATCTCACAATTGGCCTTATTCTAATAGCCTTGTTAGTATATTAGGAATCAAGTTGAAAAATGGAGGGAAGTGGACACACTGTATTTGGTATACTTGCTATCCTCCAATGAGCAACATGGGATTCCTCTATGAGATTTCACTGGTAGCTAAGAGCCAAGAACCTCTTCTGATAAAAGCTTAGTGCAGACATTAAGCACAGGATTTCAGGGTAATTAATCCATCACTTTTCAGGGCACTCAGTTGAAATAAGTGTTAAGGATAAATGATACATATACCTTCCGCTGCAGAGAAGAAATCTCACCTATCAATGATTAAAAATTACAGGTTGAAGAGAAAAGATGACTCCTAAGATACATGTGCAGCTTACCAAATCTGTCATGTGCTGATGCCAAGGGCCTAGATTTGCAAGGCCTGATTAGGAAGATGGCTATCTGGAATCATATCAAGCTAAAGATCAGAGAAGTCTTTCATTTTGTATGGTATGTGAAAAATAATCAAACCAGGAAAAATGCTCATTATATGTAACTCCATTGGAGAACAATTTGGCAATATTTGCCAAAATTACAAACACTTTGACCTTCCAATCCAGCAATCTCACTTCTGGGAATGTTTTCTACAGATATATTTCAAACATGTAAAAGAACATATGCTGTTTACTGCAGCAAATTGAAAATAATAAAAACAGGAAGAGACGAGAAAGAAGATAAAAATTCAAATGTCAGTGAATAGGGTACTGGTTAAATAAATTACAGTACATCTACAAAAGGTAGGCACATGTTGTATATAAATAATAAGGTGATTCTCTATGTACTACTATAGAGAGATCTCCAAAATATACTTTAGATGAAAAAAAAACAACAAAGTACATGATAGTGTATAATATGCTAACTGTGCTGCATATAAGAGGAACAATCAAAAATATATTTGCTATTATTTGTGTAAATTCTGGGAGGACACATAATACACACAATAAATGAAGAAAAGATGGAGTAGAAGCATTCAAATGGAACTTTTCAATGGATACCTTATGTAGTTTGACTTTTGAACCATGTGAATATGTTTAATAATTAAATGGTTTTTTCTGACATTTTTTGTAAGCAAACAAAATTTTAACACAATTTGACCAGTTATATTGTCCTCATTGTATTCCCTATCCATGGAGTAAACCTAACATCTGCCCTCCAATGTATGTGGTATTTTATAAAACATTTTTCTCTTTAGTCTGTATTCATTATCTCTCCCTCTTCTATTCCCATTTATTTATACCTTAATTGTATTAGAGTGACTAAGATGCATTCAAGGGTGAAGAATCTGTGAAAGACTCGACAAACTGAAATTGCATTGCAGTTTGTTTGGTTTTGTTTGCAGATCCAGATCTTGCAGACCATAACAGATAATCCATCTCCTCTATTTTGTAAGCAATATTTATATTCTTCACAAGGCTCTCTCTTGAATGTTAAGGAACAACGGCAGTGACAGCCTCATCCTTTCCTATCACAAAGCCTCTGATAAAGCCTCCACTGGACTAAAACTTTTTTCAATTAACACTAACTTTTAAGTTCACTTAGAATACTGGGCCTCTTTGATATGAGTCTGACTTGGAATTGAGTGTCTTATCTACTGAAATCAAGTTTAAGGCTCTAGAATGTTCCCAGATTACAAATCAAGTTATCAGTCTTCCTGCATCAGCTGTTTCATTTATTCTTGGCAACAGCACCCACCATAAGACCCTACTATGGATTAGGGCGGGAGGACAGTAGACATGTACCAACTCCAACATCACAATGCTGAATTGCCATGGGGACATATTTGAATCTAGACTTAAAGCTACCAGCCACATCAGTTATTTCATTACAAAGTGAATCTATTTAGTAAATCAATACGGAGGAACATCTCATTTTAGTGTTTTAGTGAAACAAAGAACAATAAAAGTGTGTGTTGAAGGGGCAGGTATAGAGAATTTTGGCAGCAGGCACTGTAGCGTGAAATCTGGAGCTACATTACCTGTGTCTGAACCCTGGCCTTGTCATTTACCAATTGTGTGACTCTGGACCAGTTATCTAACCTATTTCTGTGTTAATTTCCTCCTTAGTAAGAAAATGGGAATGTTGTTGGCTTTCATGGGAAAACCAAATGGAAACCTCTTTTCCAGAGGAGTTGGGAAGAGAAGTGCGACCTCAAAGGTCAACCTTTTTATGTGCATTCAAATAACTGGAAAAAGTCATGGCATTTTCCAGTTCAATAAGTATTAGATGTCTAGATATATGTCTACATTGTAAGTACGCAGAGAAGCTCACAATAAGTAGTGATTAAATAAAGTTTGACATTGGAGTTAAAATTACAATTCTTTGAAATTTGAATAGGAGGCAAAAATAATCCTAAATTTAAACAGATTAGACACATTTGCACTTCTGAAGCATTCTCTTTTAAGAGAAGTTCATGGAATACATTCTTTAAACACAGAAACACAGTACAGTCCTTGAATCTTAATTCTTGGTACAAGCTTACCAAGAAACTATTGAAAACCAGATAGGATTCAGGTGTTCAAAACTCATACTTGTAGAAAATTATTTTTCAAAGGGAAAAAACTCCTGAATAAAAATTGGCAAATTTTAATTTCACCATAATTAGATTTTCAATCTTATTCAAAAAAGATGCCACCAAGTATCTCAAAAGAGGTATTGTCCCCAAAGGATTAAAAAAGGAGTACAGAAAGCATGTTGAAAATATATTATTTTGCTAATAGAAAACCAACTTCACATTTCCCACATATCTTTGTTTTGTGATTTTTCCTCTTCAGGAAAATTCCAGTTATTTTAAAAATGGTCAGGACTGGGGATTTAGCTCAGTGGCTCTGCTGCCTGCCTCGCAAGTGCAAGGTCCCGAGTTCAATCCCTGGTACAAAAAAAAAAAAAAGGTCAGACTCTTACTGGTTTAAGTCAATCCTCTAATGAAATCAACCACAGCAACAATGTTCATTTTGAGCTATAGAAAAATAAACATATTCCTTTGACCCAACAATCCAGAAAAAAAAAAGCAGAACACAAAGAGAAAATGGACTTGGATTTTTAATTTTTTTAAAGATTATCTATATATATATATTAATAAAAAGTGCAAAGAATAGACCTTCATGTTTAAATTATATTCTAAAATAAAATATATATTTCCATTAATGCAGGAGACAACTGGCAAGTAAAGAGCCTGAGAGAGTCCAGTCCCTCTCCATCACTATAATGGACATACATTTCAAGGAAGCACCTATGAAAAACAGTAGTGTTCACAACACGTCTGGTAACACAGATAGCTTCTGGGTGTTCTTGAAAGCAGTTTGCTTGTATTTTCAATCTAACATGAAATAAAGCAAAAAATCCAATTCAGAAAGAGATGACATTGCTTAGAACAGTCTAGTATTCAGAATTCATGTTTTACATGGCTTACATGGCCGGGAGCCCAGCACTTCCCATGCAGCAAGCCACACTCACATGTGCGTTACTAAAAGCTATAGCAGTACGTCTCAAGTGCTGATCAGTTCTTTGTGCAATGAATGTCCTCTGCTCCTAACACTGCTGGTTTAGCCACATAGGTGAAAATCTAGTTAAAATTGAATTTTTTAAAAAGTAAACAATTTTTAGAAAGCATATCATGGCATTCACTTCTGTTACACAGAACTGAGCTTATATTTTGGGCTTAATTTTCACCAAAAAGTCTTAAAACCTAAAGAGCTTATAATTTCTGATTTCTTATGTATTTATGTTGGCAATGTTGGTAACAAATTGCAGAAACAAAAACTTTTAACAATAAAGACATACAACTTTGGACTTAAGAAAGAAACCTGGGATAGTTTCACAATTCAAATTCAGAAACTGACTTCTGTGGCTTCAGCAGCTATGCATCCACATGTAGAAAGGATTCCTTGGTTTTGATGCTACTTTATTTTTTTTCATAACTGAAAAGAATTTCTACTTTAGAAAAGGTTTGTTCTATACCTTTATGCCTGAAGCATCATATCTATAATACTGGCTATAGCTGCATTTTGCCTCATAAATGTCAGTAATATGCTCTACTGGATCTGGATGAAGTCATTATTAAAATATGGATAAGCTACAGACAATCCATTATGCATAACTTGGAGACTCAAAGGTCCATGGTTTCTTCTCTCCTTCTTTCAGACCTATTATAAAAATAATTTTGGTTACAAGTGTTTACACAGCACCAATTTTATTTCAAAAGCAGCATCTTTACTGAGCCACCCAAATGAATCTATAAGTACACATGCTCAAATAGCTTTTCTCATTTACTTCTGTAACTCTGAAAGACCAGTAATTTAATTAGATATTTTATTAATCAAAAATTATTCAGCAATTTTAAAACCATCAATTACAATGCCCTAAAAATACCCACATCGGCTGAATTAAATGGGAAGTTCCCTCTACATGCAATTGTATAATAAAAGAATTTATGCCTGCAGTTGATAAAACACTGTGTTCTGTAATAACAGAAGAAACAGGTCTCTAATAGTAAAAAAGCATTTCATAAAACTTTGTCATATATAAAATATCTTATTCTGACCATTCCACTTATGATTAAAGCATAAGTGTTCACTCTGCCTTCTGCTGTGGGACAATCAGGGGTCATATCACTTCAAAAAATAAGAGTGCATCTGTTTCCCAGGCTGACAAAAGAAACGGGTTCAATTACATTATTTCTCTTTCAAACTTGCCTGTACTTGTGTGCATATACACAAAGCACTCAGTTTTAACCTTCATGACACTTGCCACACTTTTTTCCTATTTCCAAAAACCTGTCAAGAGAAATGTGAATGGAAAATAACTGTTCTCGTCTATACTCAGCCTGGATCTCCACTGCTCATTTTTGTGATTTTGCAAGATAAAAGTCTGCAGCAGAAGGAGAATAGGCTTCATTCATCTTTCTCAAACCCTTTGGTTTCCATCTTTAATGTTACAGTGAATGTAGATTTGCCTCAGAAGGACTGAGTCAAAGGCTTTACAGATACTGAACCTGAAGCGCATTAAGAGAATAAACATCTGCCATATGGCACAGGAAAATTTAAAAAGTAGCAATAATAAACACAACTCCCCAATACATGAAGAATTGAAAATCATCTAAAAATTCTCTAAGAAATTAAATTCATAGGAGGGGTAGAATCATTAACAAAGCTCAAAAGATCAAATGCAACTAGATAATAATTGCATTCTCTGAAAAATACTTCACTTGCCTACCTTCTCTGCCCTACGTAGTTATTTCTTAAGTCTCCCACCTATAAACATGGTGGACCATGTTTATATATACTAAAGAAAAGGATTACATCTGATTTCAAAAGGAATAGAAACAAACAAGAGTTGAGGGCAAATAAGGGGCCAATTTTAAAAGAAAAGTGCTTTAAATGTGCTTCTGCAAAAAAATATGACTTGGGTGCAATTTGGAAGTTTTAACATAGATTAGGCAGAGTTATTCTTCTATGGCGGCAACTAAACTGAAATGTAAAACAAGAACTGTTTAATTCTTACATCCCCAAATCTTACAAAATGGAAAGCAAAGCCCCCTTTGATTAAAATTTCCCACCTTTAATGCAAAGTGCAAAAACAAGGGCTTCAAATGGGTGACAGGCAAGTCATGAAGCCCATTTGCCCATATCCCAAACTCCATTCCTTAACACACAGCACAGATCATCGATTAGCTGATGCTCTGCTCTCCTGCCATGCACATCCAACATTCTACTGGCTTCTTCATAAAGCCAGGTCTCTATTCTCAATAGTTTAAATTAATGAAAGAGAAAGATATGAGGAAATATATTCAATAAGCAAAAATAAAATAACTTGAATCTGACATATTTCATGTTATGGAAGTAATGACTGATATACTCTATAAAGGACATTAAAAGTGAGACAGTAGCATATAAAGAGATCAGACTGCTCTACCAATACTTCTAGAATAATAGTAAATTTTCCTGGAGTTTAACTTTCCATCTATTCTTCAAGATCCTAACAGAGTTATAGGTTCTTACTGAGTACCTGAGATCAGAATCAGGTTGCAAAATGCTTAAAAGACTCAAAATTATTTCAAAAAGGAGAAATGAGAAAAATCACTCAAGTTGAGAGGTAAGTTAACTATGAACAGGATAAAATTATTAGCTAAACATATGTTGACACAAGTCAAAGAGAAAACCAAACAAAAGAGGAAAGGAGGGAGAGGAAGGTAGACAGGAAGAACCAAGGGAGAGAACTGGTGGTCCTTCCTGTGAAGATTCCTTGTCTCCTAATGTAAATATTGTTAGACACCCTTGAAGGAGCCTGCTGTTCATGCTCTCTTCACAAGCATACCCAATGGTAACAAAACCAAGCGGCAGACAAACCCCAGGGAACACACTAAGAAGTTGGTGATTTCTTTGCCATCTTTATGAGAGCGGGCATATGGTCTGCAGATGTGGCCAATTTTGCTGGCTGAGCTGAAGAAATCTGTGACAGAAAATACCAAAAACAGCCCCCTACCCATCTTAGGGGAAAAATATGAAAAATACCTCCCAAAGGTAAATAAAACAGAACAAAAAAAAGCAGCCTTCTCCCTCCTAAAGAAAACCACACCAGAAACAAATGCCCTGCAAGAGTTCTTATGTGTGTTTTTACAAGGCAGGTAGGTTATTTTGTTTTGGACTCCACATAAATTTTATCTCCATCCCTAATGCCAAAAGAATGCAATGCGCGAGAGCTGTACTTCATTTCTTCTGGGCCAAAGGGAGCTTCATGGTCAAAATAGTAGAGAACCATGTTGCTTGTGGGTAGTTGCACTAGAGTTTTTAACTGTTTCTTTAGTTCTGCAACTGTTTGGTCCAGACGAATGCTCATTTCTTCCACTTGATCATTAAAGTGGACTTCTACTTTTGCACTGCTCTGGGGTCTTAGGTCCACTTCTGCCAAAGGTTCCAACTTCCCATATTTTGTGATCAGTTCATGATACCTAGAAGGATAAGAACAACAATGTCAGCTTGAACTACCAGCTCATGATCCATGGACTTCTTCTGAACTACAAGTACACTACACTGTTACTCTCAACTTTCTAATATTATTTACTAATATTACCCCTCTATTTCTATGTCTGTCTGTCTGTATATATGTACCTAGCTATTGGATGACTATTGTGGTTTCTGTGACCCGATACAGTTGCTCCATTGAGGCCTCAGTAAAACTATGTCCTTGAGGACAGAGGAAATGTTTCTACTGAAGATGGTCAACACCTGCGATACATTGAGAATAAGCTTAGAAAGGAAATAGAACCTAGAAAAGCAAATGCTACAGAGAAAAGAGAAGAGTTAAATATCTCCACAGAACTAGCTTTTTGGGGGTGTCACTGAGAAGGGCAGATATCTAAATACATGTTCTTTAGTAATAAAGATGGAAGGAGGTCAGTGGTGTCTGAGGCCTGAGAAGCCATAACTTGCAGGTAAAAACATATATGCTAGCTATTAACCCAACTCTTTCAGTGAAACTTGTCTGAATGTTCCAGTCTAGTCTCAGCTGTAATACAAGGATTTAATGGACGAGTTAAGGATACATTCTTGGGGGAAGAAATTTGACAAAGAAAGAACTCATGTTCTTTTACCAAGGCAGGGATAAAAAGCAAAGCACACCAAGAGGAAAGTGAATTGCAGAGATGATAATAGGGCCCACTAGGTCATTTCCCATGTGGAAAATCTTGTATCCACTTCCAGCCTTGGAAGATGTAGGTCTGATTTTATTGAGTTTTGTGCAGTTTCCTACATACCAGAGAGGGAAAAATACTGAAAAGATTTAATATTAGTTTTATTATAACTAAAAAACACTGAGGTTAATTAAGGATCACAATACCACAGTCACATAAGACTTATTATTCTCAAACCTCTCCCACTCCATTTTTGGCTTTTACTCAGTAAAATCAGTGTCATAACAAGGTTTGTAAGAACATTAATGACATGGTAAGACATCTGTGCTTAGAGATGGAGGTTATTATTTTCTTTAAATGGAGAAACAGGGTATGGCAAAAATAGCAGTGGTTCTGCCTTCAGAGTTTTGACTCCATCTTATAATTAGCTGTGTGACTTGGCAACTCACTCAGTCCTTTTGAATCTGTTTTCTCATTAGTATAATTAGGATAAGTCTTGTCCTTCCTACTTTATAAGACAGCCATAAATATTAAGTAAAATAGAAGATTAGTAAACATTTTGTAAATTGTAAGTTCATACACAAAAATATTAACATGACATCTCTGCTGCTCTGGAGTTTGTATTATTTAAGTAAACATACCCTTAGAAAATATAGGACTGAAATCTACTTAGGTGGGACTTCATAGAAAACATATTGATTCGTATGATCAAATGGAGTACAGAATCTGCTCCCAGAACTTGAATGAAAAACAGTATTTTTAAAAGGCATAAAAAAATCACCAGCAGTAACAAAAGAAGACATAATCTTATTATCACAGTGTTTTAAAAGGAAATAAAAGCGCTACACCATTTGGTTCAGTTAATCAAAGAACCACCCATGGTGGTTCCTGCAAACCACCATGGAGAACAAAAGCAGAGACAAAATTTTGACCATATTGACTTATTTAAAGAAAAGTGGATCAAGGGGCTACAGAGTCACCCAGATTATGGAAAAACCAGGTTGTAGAAAAACCTCAAGGAACAGAAGCCTCTATATACCACCGCCAAGTGTCAAGATTTTAGCAAAGACAAGTAAATCTAAAACCAAGCAAGATAAAAAAGCCCAAACAAAAACTGAAACTACCATGACTTGAAATGATCTAAGCCTCCAAACTAAAAAGATTAAATGACTCACAGTTTAAGAATATTTTCCCCAACTCATCTCCTAGGATATGCCTTCAAATAAGTAAAAGTAGATTAAGATAATTTTTTAAAAATTTCAGAAGACAGCAGAATCCATATGGTCAAATACCAGTTGAATCCCAACTCCAGAGACGTTCTCCCTTCAGACTACAGAAAAGTAGACAGACGGAGGGTTTAGCCTGGGAGGGACAAAATAAGAATGGGAAAGGCTCAAGGAGAGCTAAATCATGTTTCAGCAAAGATACAGTCTGGATAGAAGTGCCCACTTAAAAAAATTTTAATGAAAAATAAAACAAAATGTCATAACCAAATAACCAGAATAACAATAGTTAACACATTATGTATCACAATCTTTAAAGTAGTTATAGTATAAGACATAGACAAAAAACACTTCCTCTTACAAAGAAGAAACAAAAAGATAATAGCACAAAATTTCCATTTCTATGAACTGAAAGAAGCTAGGAGTAAATGAATCAAATTACTATATGTATTAAAATATTTTTGAAACAATGGAATAGGTAATTTGGGGGAATTATTTGAACTTCCCCCTACTTTCTATTTATTTATCTTCTATTTTGCTCTTTATTTGTATATACATTATTTTAGTTTCTCATATAAGAGAAACCATGAGATATTTAAGTCTGTGTATCTGACTAATTTCACTTAACATTAGGTTCTCAAGTTGCATCCATTTACCCACAAATGCCTCAAGTTTATCTTCCTTTATGGCTGAGTAGTATCCCATTATGTATAAATACCACATTTTCTTTATCCATTCAGAAGTGTATCCAACTTATATGCTGTTTCCAAGATCTAGCTATTAAAAATTGTGCTGCTACAAACGTAGGTGTGCATATATCCTTATAATATGAGGATTTTAATTTGGGGAGGGATATTTAAAAAGGGGATAACTGGGTCAAGTGGAATTTCTAGTTTTAGTTGAGGAATCTCCACACTGATTTCCATAGTGGTTGTACTAGTTTACATTCCCACCAACAATGTAAAAGAGTACCTTTTTCCCCACATCCTTGCCGGCATTTATTATTATTAAATATTTTATGATAGCCATTCTTTCTGAAGGTAAGATGTTATCTCGATGTAGTTTTTTTTTTTATGTAGTTTTAACTTGCATTTCTCTGACAGCCAGAGATGTTGAACATTTTTTTATGTATTTATTGCCCATTTGTAGAGAAGTGCCCACTTTTAGGCATAAATAAGAAAGACACAAAATAGCAACAAAGCACATACCACAGAAAAAAGAATGAAGGAGAGAAACACATAAACAAGTAAAAAGCAGAGGCAGAACTCAATCTAAAAGTTACAGATAACAGAGGAACAATTGCTCTACACTGTACGTTCTAGAAATTACTAACTGCACGAATATACAAAAACAAGAGCTCAAAGACAACTGATAAGCTGTAGCATGAGATGAAAAGTGAGAGTGCACAGCTAATGGAACACACTGAAGAGCAAAACAACACCATTAATGACCAAAAAGATAAATTAGAAAGGATGACCCAAGAATATTATATCTAGTTTAGCTTTGTTCAGGAATAAATTTAACAAGCAGATATTCTTTCTTTTTTGGTACTGGGGATCGAACTTGGGACCTTGCGCTTGAGAGGCAGGTGCCAGAACCACTGAGCTGAATCCCCAGCCCAACAAGCAGATATTCTGAAATGAGAAAGAACTTAAGGAATAGAGTGTCCTTGAGTCCTTTTAGGGGCAAATAAAAACAAAAATATAAATAAAATTATTCAGTTCTGAGATTAAAAGACTAGTAAAAAGGCTTGAATCTAAATATCAAACTAAATTTTATAATAACAGTAATTCTTGGACTCATTTATACTTGACACTATCGCCAATTGTATCAATCTCAATCACAGACATGTTTGCACAAAAAATTATGACCCACACACAGAAAGTAGCACAGTTGCTACAATGAGCAAGTAAATCTACAAATGAAATAACCTATAAATTGGAACACTGTGATGTTCTATAATTTTCTCAAAATCAACATGTCCAGAAACAATTCATGCCACTCCCATCCACCTTCTTTTCCAGTCTTTTATATCTCAGTAAATATTACTAAAATCTACCTAATTATCCTACTCAGAAACAAGATGGTCACTCCAATTCCTTCTCTATTTCTCTCATTCCATCAATTAACATGTCTTACTAATTCTCTGTCTAAATAATTGATTTTTCCACATTTCTCTTATCTAGTTTTCTTGTAAATTCAAGTCATTAAATAATTTGGATTGCTTACTGTTTTGTATGGATGCATAAGCTAGATGAGCTTTCTTAGTATCTGTTTCAACCTCCCCCAATAGGCCTTCCTATACTGGAAAGATAGGAAAGCCCTTAAATCTGTATTTCCTATACTACCTTGCAGATGAAATTTAGTGTCTACAAATCCTGGTCAGCTCTAGGTTTCAAAAGAGGTAGTAGGTCTAGCAGACATAGTCTTGAACAGTTTGGAGGCAGGCTTCCTAACTGCCAGACTTAAGTGCAAGCAGTCTGTGCTTGGAGTCAACAGCCCTGGCTGCAGATGTTGACCTCCAGATCACAGAAAAGGTGATGTTATCAGCACCAAGGACAGCACCCCGTTGTTCTTCCCCTGGCCTGATTCTGGTAGAGGTAGCAGTGCTTTGGTGGGGCACTTCCCTGTATGGTACCACCTATTCTAGAGGCAGTTCTAGGGAGGCAGCCTAACTAAGTCTGCTCCTCTAGGTCTTCCACGGATTTGGTAAGTACTTTATTCACTATGTGAAAACACTTTCTTCCTAAAACAGCTAATGACTTTTCCATGACTTCAGGGTAGACTCAAGACAACCTGTCTATAGTATTGTCAAAGTAATTATTATAAAACACAAATTTGATCACCTCCTTCCTCTTTTTAAAACACACAATACTCATCAAAATAAAGGCCTAACTAAATTTTTACAGGATTGTGGTAGGCAGAATTTCAGCCCCATGTCTGCATGTGCCTGATCTGAATCAGAGTTGTTTCTGTAGCTAGAAGTAGAAGTGAAAACCAGAGATTCCCCAGCTGGTAGCACAAGAAGGATTTGACACACCAATAATGGCTTAAAGACGGAGGGGGCCATATGGAAAGTGGACAAAAGAACACAAT